ATTTCTCAGCCTATTATGCAAGGCCCGATTTGCCTAATAAGCCAAGTTTTCATGACTTAATATATTTTCTCTAATTTTTTTCTTATGAAATGATAAAGCTACCTATTTCATTATGTGTGAGGTCAATTTTATTTTATTGGAGTTAGAATTAATGTAGATATATGACCGAACCTAACCAACCCTACCTAACCTAACCTAACCTATCTTTATAGGGTAGGTTAGGTTAGGTAGCCGAAAAAGTTAGGTTAGGTTAGGTTATGTAGGTTAGGTAGTCGAAAAACAATTAATTCATGAAAACTTGGCTTATTATGCAAATCGGGCCTTGCATAGTAGGATGAGAAGTGCGTTCTGGCTACTAGGTACGACATATATATATATATATATATATATATATATATATATATATGTCGTACCTAGTAGCCAGAACTCACTTCTCAGCCTACTATTCAAGGCCCGATTTGCCTAATAAGCCAAGTTTTCCTGAATTAATATATTTACTATAATTTTTTTCTTATGGAATGATAAAGCAACCCTTTTCTCTATGTATGAGGTCAATTTTTTTTTATTGGAGTTAAAATTAACGTAGATATATGACCGAACCTAACCAACCCTACCTAACCTAACCTAACCTATATTTATAGGTAGGGTTAGGTTAGGTAGCCAAAAAAGCTAGGTTAGGTTAGGTTAGGTAGGTTAGGTAGACGAAAAAACATTAATTCATGAAAACTTGGCTTATTATGCAAATCGGGCCTTGAATAGTAGGCTGAGAAGTGCGTTCTGGCTATTAGGTACGACATATATATATATATATATATATATATATATATGTCGTACCTAGTAGCCAGAACGCACTTCTCTGCCTAGTATGCATGGTCCGATTTGCCTAATAAGCCAAGTTTTCCTGAATTAATATATTTTCTCTCATTTTTTTCTTATGAAATGATAAAGCTACCCATTTCATTATGTATGAGGTCAATTTTTTTTATTGGAGTTAAAATTAACGTAGATATATGACCGAACCTAACCAACCCTACCTAACCTAACCTAACCTAACCTATCTTTATAGGTTAGGTTAGGTAGCCGAAAAAGTTAGGTTAGATTAGGTTAGGTAGATTAGGTAGTCGAAAAACAATTAATTCATGAAAACTTGGCTTATTAGGCAAATCGGGCCTTGCATAGTAGGCCAAGAAGTGCGTTCTGGCTGCTAGGTACGACATATATATATATATATATATATATATATATATATATATATATATATATATATATATATATATATATATATATATATATATATGTCGTACCTAATAGCCAGAACGCACTTCTCGGCCTACTATGCAAGGCCCGATTTGCCTAATAAGCCAAGTTTTCCTGAATTAATATATTTTCTCTTATTTTTTTCTTATGAAATGATAAAGCTACCCATTTCATTATGTATGAGGTCAATTTTTTTTTATTGGAGTTAAAATTAACGTTGATATATGACCGAACCTAACCAACCCTACCTAACCTAACCTAACCTATCTTTATAGGGTAGGTTAGGTTAGGTAGCCGAAAAAGTTAGGTTAGGTTAGGTTAGGTAGGTTAGGTAGTCGAAAAACAATTAATTCATGAAAACTTCCCTTATTAGGCAAATCTGGCCTTGCATAGTAGGCAGAGAAGTGCGTTCTGGCTACTAGGTACGACATATATATATATATATATATATATATATATATATATATATATATATATATATATATATTGGTAGCAGTCTTTCCTGTAGACATATATTATTAAATATGATCGAAAAAGTAAGATTAATAATTCTAACACGAATTTTCTCAATGTTTCTTATATTTTTCTTCACTGTTGATGGTAACTGAAAAATCAATTCTCCAAAATTCATTTTTATTTCTAGTCTGACGCGACACTTGAGCGCGTTCCGTAAAACTTATTACATTTTCAAACACTTTAGTTTACACAGACACAACTATATCTGAACAGAGCTTAAACATCTTGGATTTTATACCTGCATTTGGGTGAGGTGATATGTTACAACAGTTTTGGATGAGGTGAAAACAAACTTTCAACACAAGACAGAACACGAAACAATGGGTATAATATTTTGTAAGTTAAAGGGAAGAATGGAAGTAACTTCAAAGGGCCTATTGGCCCATATTTCGTGTTGCTTCTATATTGGTTCGGAGTCTTAAAGTGGGTAGAATATAGTTGTGCATTAATTGGCTGTTGATTGCTGGTGTCGACTTCTCAATGTGTAGTGCCTCACAGATATCTAGCCGCCTGCTATCGCTGTATTTATCGATGATTTCCCTGTTTTTTGTTAAGACTTCTCTGGTTATGGTCTGGTTGTGGGAAGAGATTATATGTTCCTCAATGGAGCCCTGTTGCTTATGCATCGTTAATCGACTGGAAAGAGATGTTGTTGTCTTGCCTATATACTGAATTCTTTGAGGCTTACAGTCCCCAAGAGGGCATTTGAAGGCATAGACGACATTGGTCTCTTTTAAAGCGTTCTGCATTGTGTCTGGAGAGTTTCTCATGAGTAGGTTGGCCGTTTTCTTGGTTTTATAGTAGATCGTCAATTGTATCTTCTGATTTTTGTCTTTAGGGATAACGTTTCTATTAACAATATCTTTCAGGACAGTTTCCTCCGTTTTTTGAGCTGTGGAAAAGAGACAACTAACACAACACCTGTACCCACTATTAGACTATTTTACAGGAACTTCTTTTTACAACCAATTAATGCACAACAATATTCTACCCACTTCAAGACTCCGCACCATTATAGAAGCATCAAGAAATATGGGCCAATAGGCCCATTACAGTTACTTCCATTCTTCCCTTTATCCTACAAAATATTATACCCATTGTTTTGTGTTCTGTCTTGTGTTGAAAGTTTGTTTTCACCTCATCCAGAACTGTTGTAAGACATCACCTCACCCAAATGCAGGTATAAAATCGAAGCTGTTTAAACTCTGTTCAGTTTAGTTGTGTGTGTGTAAACTAAAGTCTTTGAAAATGTAATAAGTTTTACGAAACGCGTTAAAGTGTCGCGTCAGACTAGAAATAAAAATGAATTTTGGAGAATTGATCTTTCAGTTACCATCAACAGTGAAAAGAAGTATAAGAAGCATCGAGAAAATTCGTGTTAGAATTATTAATCATACTTTTTCGGTCATATTTAATAATATATATATATATATATATATATATATATATATATATATATATATATATATATATATATATATATATATATATATATATATATATATATATATATATATATATATATATATATATATGTCGTACCTAATAGCCAGAACGCACTTCTCAGCCTACTATTCAAGGCCCGATTTGCCTAATAAGCCAAGTTTTCATGAATTAATGTTTTTTCGTCTACCTAACCTACCTAACCTAACCTAACCTAGCTTTTTTTTGGCTACCTAACCTAACCTTACCTATAAATATAGGTTAGGTTAGGTTAGGTAGGGTTGGTTAGGTTCGGTCATATATCTACGTTAATTTTAACTCCAATAAAAAAAAATTTGACCTCATACATAGAGAAAGGGTTGCTTTATCATTTCATAAGAAAAAAATTATAGTAAATATATTAATTCAGGAAAACTTGGCTTATTAGGCAAATCGGGCCTTGAATAGTAGGCCAAAAAGTGAGTTCTGGCTACTAGGTACGACATATATATATATATATAATATATATATATATATATATATATATATAATATATATGTTTCATTGAATATGACCGCATATTCTGTATTTATTATTTTCTGGTTTAGGGCTTCTATCCCTCTAACTATTTTCTTAGCATCAGGGCTTAATTGAAATAGGAGTTCTCCAAAACTCATTTTCGTACTTTTAAGGTGAAGAAAAGAAGTGATTTACTATAGAGTGTATTACACTTATTTGTATAATATGTTGGAAATGTTGGAAATTTGACTCCTGAGCGTGATTTTTGAGCCGAATTATGATTCATTGCAATTATTTTCATTTTCAAACTACGATCTTTTAAACATTAAATATTCTAATTACTGAAAACGGCCATGGGTCATATTTTGCCCAAACCCCCTTGCGGTTTTCAAAATATCTCATATGTCGGAAATTTGACTCATGAGCGTGACTTTTGAGCCGAATTCTGACTCTTTGCACCCATTTTCATTTTCAAATTACGATTTTTATACCGAAAATATGTTAATTACTAAAAACAGCGATGGGTCATTTTTTGCCCAAATCCCCCGGCAGTTTTCAAAATATTTCAAATATCGGAAAATTGACTCTTGAGCGTGATTTTTGAGCCGAATTCTGACTCTTTGCACCTATTTTCATTTTCAAATTACGATCTTTTATACCGAAAATATGCTAATTATTGAAAACGGCGATGGGTCATATTTTGCCCAAACCCCCCTGCAGTTTTCAAAGTATCTCATATGTCAGAAATTTGACTCCTGAACGTGATTTTTTTAGCCGAATTCTGACTCTTTGCACCTATTTTCATTTTCAAATTACGATTTTTATATCGAAAATATGTTAATTACTAAAACCAGCGATGGCTCATATTTTGCCCAAACCCCCCCTGCAGTTTTCAAAATATCTCAAATGTCGGAAAATTGACTCTTGAGCGTGATTTTTGAACCGAATTCTGACTCTTTGCATCCATTTTCATTTTCAAATTTAGATGTTTTATACCGAAAAAATGCGAATTACTGAAAACGGCGATAGGGAAATAAAACTAGGTATGATAGGGAAATGGGACAGGAGTCAACAACCGATGACTCGAAGGGCGGGATCCAAGAGTCAATGCTCAATCCTGCAGACACAAATAGGTTAGCATACAGCCCCGTCCTCCCACATTGCAGCCTGGCCGCTCCAGCTCACTCAGACTTCTCTGTTCGTGTGGAGTTCACCGGTTATCAATCCACATCTTATCAGCGATGATAAATCGAGCACAGCATTACTCGATGTGGGTAGCCAGTATTATCAGGGTCCACTATCACCAGTACCCACCATCTCCATCCTCAGTGTACCGGGAACCTCCTCCACACCACAGGTACCGGTTGTTATTGGTTTGACACTGACCCGTTAAGCTTCTTGACTCCTCCAGTACTATCCACTGGGGCACCTAGCATCATCTACTGGAAGGTGGTCCTCCATAGTCTATTGTTGGTGTTTTCCTGAGCAGGAGTTTGCAGGTTAGTCCGTCGTGTAATAGTGTGTGTGTGTGTGTGTGCGTGTGTGTTTACTAGTTGTGTTTTTACGGGGGTTGAGCTTTTGCTCTTTTGACCCGCCTCTCAACTGTCAATCAACTGTTTACTAACTACTATTTTTTTTTTTCCCACACCACACACACACACACCCCCCAGGAAGCAGCCCGTGACAGTTGACTAACTCCCAGGTACCTATTTACTGCTAGGTAACAGGGGCATTCAGGGTGAAAGAAACTTTGCCCATTTGTTTCTGCCTCGTGCGGGAATCGAACCCGCGCCACAGAATTACGAATCCTGCGCGCTATCCACCAGGCTACGAGGCCCCTAAGGGCCCTACGAGGGTACTGTGTGTGTGTGTGTGTGTGTACTCACCTAGTTGTGCTTGCGGGGGTTGAGCTCTGGCTCTTTGGTCCCGCCTCTCAACTGTCAATCAACAGGTGTACAGGTTCCTGAGCCTATTGGGCTCTATCATATCTACTTGAAACTGTGTATGGAGTCAGCCTCCACCACATTGCTTCCAAATGCATTCCATTTGTCAACCACTCTGACACTAAAAAAGTTCTTTCTAATATCTCTGTGGCTCATTTGGGCACTCAGTTTCCACCTGTGTCCCCCTAGTGCGTGTGCCCCTTGTGTTAAACAGCCTGTCTTTATCAACCCTGTCGATTCCCTTGAGAATCTTGAATGTGGTGATCATGTCCCCCCTAAATCTTCTGTCTTCCAACGAAGTGAGGTTTAATTCCCGTAGTCTCTCCTCCTAGCTCATACCTCTCAGCTCGGGTACTAGTCTGGTGGCAAACCTTTGAACCTTTTCCATTTTAGTCTTATGCTTTTCTAGATATGGACTCCATGCTGGAGCCGCATACTCCAGGATTGGTCTGACATATGTGGTATATAATGTTCTGAAAGATTCCTTACACAAATTTCTAAAGGCCGTTCTTATGTTAGCCAATCTGGCATATGCTGCTGCTGTTATCCTCTTGATATGAGCTTCAGGGGACAAGTCTGGCGTGATATCAACCCCCAGGTCTTTCTCTCTCTCTGACTCTTGAAGTATTTCATCTCCCAAATGGTACCTTGTATCTGGTCTCCTGCTTCCTACCCCTATCTTCATTACATTACATTTGCTTGGGTTAAACTCTAACAGCCATTTGTTCGACCATTGGCACTTGGACCGTTGGTATAATCCAGAACCTAGAACAGAAACCACAACACCTCCAATAAAATTATATTACAAATCAACCATGCACAGTGAACATATAAAAGAGGAAAGACTAATGAAAGAAATAATCCGTACAGGAGTAAAAAGCACTACTCCTAACCAAAACATAAACCTGATAATATTCTACAAAACCAAGAAGACTTCCTAACTCCTTATCAAAAACAGCCCGAAGCCGACGGAGAAGCCTCTACAGCAGTCAAGCGTTGTATACATGTACACTTGCCCCCACGAAGGATGTAACCTTCAATCTAAGTACATAGGTATGACGTCGACCAAGCTGACGAGGCGTTTGACACGCCATCTTCAATCCGGTGCCTCTAGGAATCACATGAGACAAGCCCATGACATCACTCTAACAAGAGAAATGTTGAACAAGAATACCTGCATAATAGATAAAACCCAAGATGCAAAAAGATTACAAATTCTTGAGGCAATTCACATAAGAATAGAACAACCTACCATGAACACCCAAATCACGGAACTATTTACTCTACCCACCATGAGAGTAAGGACAAGACCAGAACATAACGATGCCAACACAGAAGACAATGTCCAAAATAACAGGCCAATTACACTGGATTAATCTTTGTGCTTAGATAGGAGCTGCCTCGTATGGGCCAATAAGCCTTCTGCAGTTACCTCTATGTTTCACCTCACATTTATCCCTTATGTATCCCCCCATGTTTTCACCTTTATTGTATTATCACCTGACCCAGTGCGGGTATAAAATCAACCAGCATTGTAAGATCTGTTCACTTGAGAATGAACCATGGAGGTTCGAAACGTTGTGCAAATTGTATAAATAAGTGTAATACACTCTATAGTAAATCACTTCTTTTCTTCACCTTAAAAGTACGAAAATGAGTTTTGGAGAACTCCTATTTCAACTAAGCCTCGATGCTAAGAAAATAGTTAGAGGGCTAGAAGCCCTAAACCAGAAAATAATAAATACAGAATATGCGGTCATATTCAATAAAACATGTTTGAAAGAAAACCTGCTGCCAGTATACACCAATATATATATATATATATATATATATATATATATATATATATATATATATATATATATATATATATATATATATATATATATATATATATATATATATATAATATATATATATATATATATATATATTATATATATATATATATATATATATATATATATATATATATATATATATATATATATATATATATATATATATATATATATATATATATATATATATATATATATATATATATATATATATATATATATATATATATATATATATATATATGTATATATATATATAAATATGTATATATATATATATATATATATATATATATATATATATATATATATATATATATATATATATATATATATATATATATTATTAAATATGACCGAAAAAGTAAGATTAATAATTCTAACACGAATTTTCTCAATCTTTCGTACATTACGCTTCACTGTTGGAGGTAAATCAAAAATCACTTCTCCAAAATTCATTTTTATTTCTAGTCTGACGCGACACGGGCGCGTTTCGTAAAACTTATTACATTTTCAAAGACTTCACAAATACACAACTGATTAGAACGTATCTCTGATTTTATATCTACATTTGAGTGAGGTGGTAAGGGTGATGTGGCATTAACACAAGACAGAACAGGAGGGGATATTAATAGGGTATTAAAAGTATCAACACAAGACAGAACAGAAAATAATAAATCCTATACCCCCTATTAGACTATTTTACAGGAACTTCTTTTCCACAGCTCATAAAACGGAGGAAAGGGTCCTGAAAGATATTGTTAATAGAAACGTTATCCCTACAGACAAAAATCAGAGGATACAACTGACGATTTACTATAAAACCAGAAAAACGGCCAGCCTACTCATGAGAAACTCTCCAGACACAAAACAGAACGCTTTAAAAGAGACTAATGTCGTCTATGCCTTCAAATGCCCACTTGGGGACTGTAAGCTCCAAAAAACCCAGTATATAGGCAAGACAACAACATCTCTTTCTAGGCGTTTAACGATGCATAAGCAACAGGGCTCCATTAAGGAGCATATAATCTCTTCCCATAACCAAACCATCGCCAGAGAAATCCTAGTAAACAACACAGAAATCATCGATAGATACAGCGATAGCAGGCGGCTTGACGTTTGCGAGGCACTACACATCAAGAAGTCAACACCAGCAATCAACAGCCAATTATTGCACAACTATGTTCTACCCACCTCAAGACTCCGCTCCAATATAGAAGCATCAAGAAATATGGACCAATAGGCTTTCTACAAACACTTCTATTCAATACCCATTGTTTCTGTTCTGTCTTGTGTTGATACTTTTAATACCCTATTAATATCCCCTCCTGTTCTGTCTTGTGTTAATGCCACATCACCCTTACCACCTCACTCAAATGTAGATATAAAATCAGAGATACGTTCTAATCAGTTGTGTATTTGTGAAGTCTTTGAAAATGTAATAAGTTTTACGAAACGCGCCCGTGTCGCGTCAGACTAGAAATAAAAATGAATTTTGGAGAAGTGATTTTTGATTTACCTCCAACAGTGAAGCGTAATGTACGAAAGATTGAGAAAATTCGTGTTAGAATTATTAATCTTACTTTTTCGGTCATATTTAATAATATATGTCTACAGGAAAGACTGCTACCAAAATATACTAATATATATATATATGCGAACAAGCCTGAATGGTCCCCAGGACATATGCAACTGAAAACTCACACCCCAGAAGTGACTCGAACCCATACTCCCAGAAGCAACGCATCTGGTATGTACAAGACGCCTTAATCCACTTGACCATCACGACCGGACAAAATGAGGTGATAGCCGAGGCTATTTGAACCACCCCACCGCCGGCACTCGGATAGTTATCTTGGGCATAGCATTTTACCAAATCACCTCATTCTTTGGGGCAACACGTGAGGAACACAAATGCGAACAAGCCTGAATGGTCCCCAGGACATATGCAACTGAAAACTCACACCCCAGAAGTGACTCGAACCCATACTCCCAGAAGCAACGCATCTGGTATGTACAAGACGCCTTAATCCACTTGACCATCACGACCGGACAAAATGAGGTGATAGCCGAGGCTATTTGAACCACCCCACCGCCGGCACTCGGATAGTTATCTTGGGCATAGCATTTTACCAAATCACCTCATTCTTTGGGGCAACACGTGAGGAACACAAATGCGAACAAGCCTGAATGGTCCCCAGGACATATGCAACTGAAAACTCACACCCCAGAAGTGACTCGAACCCATACTCCCAGAAGCAACGCATCTGGTATGTACAAGACGCCTTAATCCACTTGACCATCACGACCGGACAAAATGAGGTGATAGCCGAGGCTATTTGAACCACCCCACCGCCGGCACTCGGATAGTTATCTTGGGCATAGCATTTTACCAAATCACCTCATTCTTTGGGGCAACACGTGAGGAACACAAATGCGAACAAGCCTGAATGGTCCCCAGGACATATGCAACTGAAAACTCACACCCCAGAAGTGACTCGAACCCATACTCCCAGAAGCAACGCATCTGGTATGTACAAGACGAACCTCATTTTGTCCGGTCGTGATGGTCAAGTGGATTAAGGCGTCTTGTACATACCAGATGCGTTGCTTCTGGGAGTATGGGTTCGAGTCACTTCTGGGGTGTGAGTTTTCAGTTGCATATGTCCTGGGGACCATTCAGGCTTGTTCGCATTTGTGTTCCTCACGTGTTGCCCCAAAGAATGAGGTGATTTGGTAAAATGCTATGCCCAAGATAACTATCCGAGTGCCGGCGGTGGGGTGGTTCAAATAGCCTCGGCTATCACCTCATTTTGTCCGGTCGTGATGGTCAAGTGGATTAAGGCGTCTTGTACATACCAGATGCGTTGCTTCTGGGAGTATGGGTTCGAGTCACTTCTGGGGTGTGAGTTTTCAGTTGCATATGTCCTGGGGACCATTCAGGCTTGTTCGCATTTGTGTTCCTCACGTGTTGCCCCAAAGAATGAGGTGATTTGGTAAAATGCTATGCCCAAGATAACTATCCGAGTGCCGGCGGTGGGGTGGTTCAAATAGCCTCGGCTATCACCTCATTTTGTCCGGTCGTGATGGTCAAGTGGATTAAGGCGTCTTGTACATACCAGATGCGTTGCTTCTGGGAGTATGGGTTCGAGTCACTTCTGGGGTGTGAGTTTTCAGTTATATATATATATATATATATATATATATATATATATATATATATATATATATATATATATATATATATATATATATATATATATATATATATATATAAGTATAACTTCAGTAAAGCTAATCCTATAATATAAAAGTATCGGGCAGCCTTGAAACCATCTTCTTGCAATTAAATATCACATAAACACAGTGTATCGATATTTTCTAGAGAAGTAGAGAAATAAACATATATTGTCCCATATTCTTGCAGCACAAGAGACGCCAGACATCACCATGGTGGACGCTTGCCCAGTGTGCAACAGGTACTACACCAGATCGAGAATCCCCATGGTAGGGAGCTGGGGCAACGCCTGCAGGGAGTGCATCATCAAACAGCAACAGAGTCAATTCCCGGAGTGCGGGGCGTCCCGGCCCACCACCACCACCTCTGACCCCTCAACTGTTGCCTCGGGCCGCAGAGAGCTCAGCAAGGGGAACGCCCCAAGGACCCTCGCTGGTAATTCTCAGCGGCAGGTGAGAGGATATGGTGCGCCTTATCCTCTCACCTTATATAAAAAGTTATAGTCCCCGTGGTGCAGTGGTAAGACACTCGCCTGGCGTTTCGTGAGTGCTTTGTCCCGAGTTCGTATCCTGGTCGGGGAGGATTTACTGGACGTCAGTCCTTAACTGTAGCCTCTGTTTACCCGACAGTAAAATGGGTACCTGGTTGTTAAATGATTTGGAGGGTCGTATTCCGGGGAATACTAGGATTAAGAACTTACCTCAACCGCTACACGTGCTAGTTGCTGTACAAGAATGTAAGAACTCTTGTATATATATATATATATATATATATATATATATATATATATATATATATATATATATATATATATATATATATATAAATATATATATATATATATATATATATATATATATATATATATATATATATATATATATATATATATATATATATATATATAAAACTTCAACAATTCAATCCCCGAATATGATTGGCTAAGTATATATATATATATATATATATATATATATATATATATATATATATATATATATATATATATATATATATATATATATATAGTCTTTCCTGTAGACATATATTATTAAATATGACCGAAAAAGTAAGATTAATAATTCTAACACGAATTTTCTCTATATTTCTTACGTTTCTTTTCACTGTTGATGGTAATTCAAAGATCAATTCTCCAAAGTTCATTTTTATTTCTAGTCTGACGCGACACTTGAGCGCGTTTCGTAAAACTTATTACATTTTCAAAGACTTTAGTTTACAAACACACAACTGAAACTGAATAGAGCTTACACATCTTCGAGTTTTTATCTACATTTGGGTGAGGTGGATGAGGAGAAAACAAACTTTCAGCAATGGGTATTAAATGGGTATTAAATTCAAACACAAGACAGAACACGAAACAATGGGAATTGAATGGGTATTAAATTCAAACACAAGACAGAACACGAAACAATGTGTATTGAATGGAAGTAATTGTAGAAAGCCTATTGGTCCATATTTCTTGATGCTTCTATATTGGAGCGGAGTCTTGAAGTGGGTAGAATATAGTTGTGCATTAATTGGCTGTTGATTGCTGGTGTTGACTTCTTGATGTGTAGTGCCTCGCAGACGTCAAACCGCCTGCTATCGCTGTATCTATCGATGATTTCTGTGTTGTTTGCTAAGATTTCTCTGGTGATGGTTTGTTTGTGGGAAGAGATTATATGTTCCTAATGGAGCCCTGTTGCTTATGCATCGTTAAACGCCTGGAAAGAGATGTTGTTGTCTTGCCTATATACTGGGTTTTTTGAGACTTACAGTCCCCAAGAGGGCATTTGAAGGCATAGACGACATTGGTCTCTTTTAAAGCGTTCTGCTTTGTGTCTGGAGAGTTTCTCATGAGTAGGCTGGCCGTTTTCCTGGTTTTATAGTAAATCGACAGTTGTATCTTCTGATTTTTGTCTGTAGGGATAACGCTTCTACTGACAATATCTTTCAGACCCTTTCCTCCGTTTTATGGGCTGTGGAAAAGAAGTTCCTGTAAAATTAGACTATTTTACAAGAACTTCTTTTCCACAGCCCATAAAACAGAGGAAAGGGTCCTATAAGATCCTATAAGCTAATCCTATTAGCTAATCCTATAATATAAAAGTATCGGGCAGCCTTGAAACCATCTTCTTGCAATTAAATATCACATAAACACAGTGTATCGATATTTTCTAGAGAAATAGAGAAATAAACATATATTGTCCCATATTCTTGCAGCACAAGAGACGCCAGACATCACCTTGGTGGACGCTTGCCCAGAGTGCAACAGGTACTACACTAGATCGAGAATCCCCATGGTAAGGAGCTGGGGCCACGCCTGCAGGGAGTGCATCATCAAACAGCAACAGAGTCAATTCCCAGAGTGCGGGGCGTCCCGGCCCACCACCTCTGACCCCTCATCTGTGGCCTCGGGCCGCAGAGAGCTCAGCAAGGGGGACGCCCCAAGGACCCTCGCTGGTAATTCTCAGCGGCAGGTGAGAGGATATGGTGCGCCTTCGGCTTGGTTCAGTGTTGCGTTTAGGTGTTATTCTCTGGAGGGTTATTAAGGTCATCATGATAGCTTATACTGACCAACCGGCAAGTATATTTGATCCCTGAACATACTCCAGTACTAACGTAAACTCGGTGAAGCATCGAGAAGCGTGTATATACCCATTTGGGTGTATATATTTGGTGTGGCTTATGGGAGCTACGTTGGATTACGTGATATTCACAGGTAACACTTAACGGTCTTAAGTGAAGGGAAGCTTTCCTTTCCATGTTTCTCTGAGCTAAGTCAATAACTAAGTATACACAAGTTTATAAACACATCATTACTTTAATATATTTGCATAATATTTAAATTTTGTTGGAATATTGTCATAAAAAAGCACGCAATAAGAGGTGAATTATTACAACATTGGAGCAACGAATTATATTGCAGTTTTTAATTGAATTTTATTTTGAATTGTTTAATAATCCACGGATAAATTTATTTTATGCTATGAGTTCCTACCCCATGAGTCAGTTCCTGTGATTAATACTATGAGTAATAATATTCCTGCATCATCCACACTCATTCATTAAACTCTTTATTTGTTCACTGATTTCCTCTCAAGACGGGAATACCAGTCATCAAAGAGTCGAGGAAGTCGGTGGACTATCAAGGCTTGGTGAACGCCAGGCTACCCGGCCACATCCCCCATACACACCTCCGTCAGCTTCGCCCGCCAGAGGTCCACCGTGTGACCCCCAGCACGGACCCTTCCCACGGACTCCAGCCAGGAGCTAAGGTCAGTGGCCAGGCCAGGGTATTCTCACCCCATAATGGGGTGAGAATAGCTTGAGCTACCTCATCCCTTCGTGTGTATTTTACCTCAATAAACTTATTTCAATTTCAATTTCAATTTCAATCTGGGGTACAGGGTCATCTAGGGTCAATGCATGTTCCTATGACATTCTCTTTCACAGGCAGGAGACAATAATACTTGAGTGTACAAGGAAAACCCGGAAGGGTTCTTCCCTGTATATTTCCCACGTGGTAGTTTTTGAGAGTTGAACAAAGAAACCTTTCAGGGCCTATATACAACCTGAGAGAGACCCACTCTTGAGTATGCAGCCCCGGCATGGAACCTTCCCCTTAAAAATCACAAGACAACACCAGAACAGTTGTTCACGATCTGGAGGGATTCACGACAAAAGACTTAGAAAACTGAACCTTACCACAAAGGAGGACAGCAGGAAAATGAGGGATACATTAACGACGTGTAAGATTCTTAAGGTAGTCGTCAAAATATGTAAAGAAGCAATGTTTAAAGTGTGGACCATCTGAACGTTGGGTCAGAGATGGAAACTAGAGACACATGTGAATCAGAAACGTCAGAAACAGGTCTTCAGTGTTGGAGTCTTAACTAAATGGTTCGATACAAGTAGTTAAGCTAATTCAAAACAGAATTTTTAATGTAATCATAATACGAAAAAATATAACTTAGTCATTACAATGAACTAGTTATACCAGTCATTAGGTTGAACTCAAATTTTGCTACAATGTACTTTTAAATAATCTTGTTTTATCTGCTGATTAAAGGATCTGCCCGAAACGTTATGTGTATTAATGGCTTCGCAAGAATGTAAGAACACCAATGTAATGTACTCTCAAAACCCAATGTACCTTCCTGTATATAAATAAATTTCAAAATCGTCAACCCTTTATTCATATCTTGGTAAGTATATCTAGGTGAGCACACACACACACACACACACACACACACACACACACACACACACACACACACACACACACACACACACACACACACACACACACAGGGGCCTCGTAGCCTGGTGGATAGCGCGCAGGACTCGTAATTCTGTGGCGCGGGTTCGATTCCCGCACGAGGCAGAAACAAATGGGCAAAGTTTCTTTCACCCTAAGTGCCCCTGTTACCTAGCAGTAAATAGGTACCTGGGAGTTAGTCAGCTGTCACGGGCTGCTACCTGGGGTGTGTGTGTGTGTGTGGTGTGGAAAAAAAAAAAAAAAAAAAAGTAGTTAGTAAACAGTTGATTGACAGTTGAGAGGCGGGCCGAAAGAGCAAAGCTCAACTCCCGCAAAAACACAACTAGTAAACACACACACACACACACACACACACACACACACACACACACACACACACACACACACAAATAACGCACTTGAAAACTTTGCTTTCATGCTTTCATACCATCACTAATATCTAGATCAATATCCAGGCCAGTACTCACCAAGCAGTTATGCAACCACTAGGAACCTCTAAATTTTGTCTCAATCTGTGGCGGCTTTGTTTACACATATTAAACAGTTAATGAACATCCAAAATTTCCCACTCAAATGTTGTTATTGTTACAAACGGCCTCTTAGTGCTTAGGGGTTCATAAGCTGTTTAATAAATGTAAACAAAGCCGCCAAAGATGAGAAAAGATGTACAGGTTCGTAAGTCTTGCCTAAATACTTGATAAATTCTGGGACCAGATTCACGAAGCAGTACGCAAGCACTTACGAACCTGGTGTCAGATTCACGCAGCAGTTACGCAAGCACTTATGCGTGTACATCTTTTCTAAATTTTTGGCGGCTTTGTTTACACTTATTAAACAGTTAATGAGCTCGGAAGCACCAGGAGGCTGTTTATAACAACATCAACAGTTGATTGACAAGTTTTTACGCTTGTAAACCTGTTTAATAAATGTAACCTAAACCGTCATAGATTGAGGAAAGATGTACACGTTCGTAAGTACTTGCGTAAATGCTTCGTGAATCTGGACCCAAGCCGGCTGGCCGGGAATTAGCATCACTTCACCCTAAGAACGGCCTGAGCATACATTAACATAGGCAACAATACCTTCCTGCTCTCCTGCATTATTAAAGGTACTGACCTTCCTTACAGACCGGTACGGTAAGGAGACAAGGAAGAGAGGAGCAACTTCCCGAAGAGGACAATATAGCAACCCATCCTCCGAATTGACAGTACGATTTAATACTAAGTGTAATAAGTACACTTTCTAACTGTCATAACCAGTGCATAATTGCACTTATGGGGCTGTTACATTTACCCAACTCCCTCCCCCGATTTAATTCCCCTCGTTTTCTGTTAAGACACAGAATTTTAGGATGAAATTTTCAATTTCAATTTGTATTACACAAGTTTTAAATATCGCAATATAGACACAAAGCTGCGCAACGTCCACAGTTACAGCACCGCTCCTGTGCCAGGTAAGTCCACTACGGGCTCACCATAGCCCGTGCTACTTGGCACGTTTAGTTCCCAGTAGCTGAATTTTAAACAACAACAGCAACGTCTCACACAAACTGCGGGTAAGTCGAGCACCGTCGCGCAGGTCCATGTGACGTCATTTGTTTACTCGGCGTCAGCTGATTTGCGGAAATTTATTTCGTTAGAAAATATTAAATATTTTATTTCCTTGTGGGGGTCTCTTTTCTTAGTTTGTTGATTTATAAGAATTAATGTTATATATAAAACAATAAATAAAATAATAAATAATTCGTTTTCGTTAGGCATGTATCATAGTTTTCTCTAGGCTAACCTCAACCACTTGGGCTGGACGGTAGAGCGACGGTCTCGCTTCATGCAGGTCGGCGTTCAATCACCGACCATTCAAGTGGTTGGGCACCATTCCTTCCCCCCGTCCCATCCCAAATCCTTATCCTGACCCACTTCCCTGTGCTATATAGTCATAATGGCTTGGCACTTTCTCCTGATAATTCCCTCTAGGTCAACCCATATTTTGCCCAAACCCCCCCCCCCCTGCAGTTTTCAAATTATCTCAAAAGTCGGAAATTTGACTCCTGAGCGTGATTTTTAAGCCAAATTCTGACTCTTTGCAACTATTTTCATTTTTAAATTACGATCTTTTATTCCGAAAATATGTTAATTACTGAAAACGGGGATGGGTCAAAATTTCAAAGACAAACATCAGACAAAGATGTCTGAAGTCAAATTTCTGACATTTGAGATATTTTGAAAACTGCAGGGGATTTGAGCAAAATATGACCCATCGCACGTTTCAGTAATTAACATATTTTCGGTATAAAGATCGTAATTTGAAAATGAAAATAGGTGCAAAAAGTCTGAATTCGGCTCAAAAATCATCAGACAAAGATGTCTGAAGTCAAATTTCTGACATTTGAGATATTTTGAAAACTGCAGGGAGGATTTGGCAAAATATGACCCATCGCACGTTTCAGTAATTAGCATATTTTCGGTATAAAGATCGTAATTTGAAAATGAAAATAGGTGCAAAAAGTCGTGAATTCGGCTCAAAAATCACGTTCAGGAATCAAATTTCCGAAATTTGAGATATTTTGAAAACTGCAGGGAGGTTTGGGCAAAATATGACCCATCGCCGTTTTCAGTAATTAGCATATTTTCGGTAATAAAAGATCGTAATTTGAAAATGAAAATAGGTGCAAAGAGTCAGAATTCGGCTCAAAAATCACGCTCAGGAGTCAAATTTCCGACATTTGAGATATTTTGAAAACTGCTGGGGGGTTTGGGCAAAATATGACCCATCGCCGTTTTCAGTAATTAGCATATTTTCGGTATAAAAGATCGTAATTTGAAAATGAAAATAGGTGCAAAGAGTCAGAATTCGGCTCAAAAATCACGCTCAGGAGTCAAATTTCCGACATTTGAGATATTTTGAAAACTGCAGGGGGGTTTGGGCAAAATATGACCCATCGCCGTTTTCAGTAATTAGCATATTTTCGGTATAAAAGATCGTAATTTGAAAATGAAAATAGGTGCAAAGAGTCAGAATTCGGCTCAAAAATCACGCTCAGGAGTCAAATTTCCGACATTTGAGATATTTTGAAAACTGCAGGGTGGTTTGGGCAAAATATGACCCATCGCCGTTTTCAGTAATTAGCATATTTTTGGTATTAAAGATCGTAATTTGAAAATGAAAATAGGTGCAAAGAGTCAGAATTCGGCTCAAAAATCACGCTCAGGAGTCAAATTTCCGACATTTGAGATATTTGGAAAACTGCTGGGTGGGTTGGGCAAAATACGACCCATCGCCGTTTTCAGTAATTAGCATATTTTTTATATTGAAGATTGTAATTTGAAAATTAAAATAGGTGCAAAGATTCAGAATTCGGCTCAAAAATTACGCTCAGGAGTGTAATTTCCGACATTTGAGATATTTTGAAAATTGCAGAGGGGTTTGGGCAAAATATGACCCATCGCCGTTTTCAGTAATTAGCATATTTTCGGTATAAAAGATCGTAATTTGAAAATGAAAATTGGTGCAAGGAGTCAGAATTCGGCTCAAAATTCACACTCAGGAGTCAAATTTCCGACATTTGAGATATTTTGAAAACTGCGTGGTCCACCCACTTGGGCTGGACGGTAGAGCTACGGCCTTGCTTCTTCCAGGTCGGTGTTCAATCCCCGACCGTGCTATTGGATGGGCACCATTCCTTCCCTCCGTCCCATCCCAAATCCTTATCCCCAAATCCTTCCCAAGTGCTATGTTGTCGCAAAGGCTTAATGCAGTCTCCTGATAATTCCCTTTATTCCCTTACCGTCGCCATTACCACACCAACCCTTCCTCCCAATCCCTAAAATGAACACAAATTTATAAAAGTTCTGTCTTATTTCGTGCTTCTGACGAACGAAAAACGCAGAGAAGTTAAAATATAGCACCGCCATTGGTGAGGATATCTGAAGAGATTCTTTGGAAGATGTCTGACAGCTTCCAGGCAGGGAGGTCCTCGCTGGAACCACATCTGCAAGTCTGATGCTGCACTTACTGGAAGGTCTTCTGCATGGGGTTCAGAGGCGCCTCTCCTTCCTCTGTGTTGCATCCTTGCCCATTCTCTCTTGTTTTTTGTTCACCTGTTTTCATTTTCTCTGTTGCATCCGCTTCGCCTCCCCCTTTATTGCTGTGGCGCTCAGGATGGCGTGGATGGTGTGTGGGACGGTAGTTATAAGGATGGGTTGGTGTGGGGATGTGGGTGGTGAGATGAGAGGAGGGATGTGATGGATGCTGGTCGCTGAAGATACCGTGCAAGGAAAGTGTCACGATACAACTGGTTCTTAACACAAACCTTTGAGTCATTTTCGCTGATGACTTCAACGTAGGAATCTTAAACTAAATTTATTTCGTTGAAGCTGCGATGTATGAGTGGACATAAATTGTTTGTGACCAGGTTGTATATTTCTATACACTAGTTGGTGTGGGGGTACCTACAAGGGTGGACCTGGTACCCTTGGCCGGGTCAATGAGAGACGATGTATGTGTCTCCCATTCTGTCTCACAGTTTGTGCTTTTGTGTTTGTGTCTCCCTGACAGCGGCAGACTCACTTCTTGCAGGTCAGCGTTCGATTCCCGATGGTCCATTTGATTAGACGCCATTTCGACCCCTCATCCGTGTATTATAATCCCCAGTTCATATATCCTCATATCCTTTCCCTGTGTGGCATAGTCAATGTGGTTTAGCACTTTCTCCTGGTAACTACCTTACCACTGTTCCTCTAGCTGTGTCTCTGTCTCTTTTTGTATCTCTGTCTTTGTCACTCTCTGAAAGTTTTGTTCACCTCATGCAAAACTGTTGTAACATATCACCTCACCCAAATGCGGGTATATAAGATAAAAGCTGTTTAAATGATAGCATAGTTGAACTCTGTTTAGTGTTTGCAGGTTATAGTTGCGTGTGTGTAAACTAAAGTCTTTGAAAATGTAATAAGTTATTACGAAACGCGTTCAAGTGTCGCGTTAGACTAGAAATGAAAATGAAATTTGGAGAATTGATTTTTCAATTACCATCAACTGTGAAAAGAAATATTGAGAAAATTCGTGTTAGAATTATTAATCTTACTTTTTCGGTCATATTTAATAATATATGTTTACAAGAAAGACTGCTACCAAAATATTGTAATAATATATATATATGTATATATATATATATATATATATATATATATATATATATATATATATATATATATATACACATATATATATATATACATATATATATATATATATACATATATATATATATATATATATATATATATATATATATACATATATATATATATATATATATATATATATATATATATATATATATATATATATATATATAATTTTTTTTTTTTATAAAAAATTTTGAGGGTACCACCTCTGGTGCCAATGTGGGGACCCATAGCCTCGGAGAAGAAAATAAAAAGTATTCAGAGGAGACCTTGTGGTTTCTCACTGAACACTAATATTATCTTCTCCTACCACCCCCATTCTTTTGTATGTACACATATATATTTGCTTTATTTGAACTTTGTTACAAAAAAGGAGTTACATATAGGTTACAAAGATGGTTATCATAGGTTGTCGAGTTCCTCCAGCTCCTCAGATGGCGGGCAGGAACCCTGGATGCAGTGCGCATTTCCCCTCAGTATCGCCACGCTGAGGCGCTGGAAAAGAAAGCTGGCAGCTCTAGGGTCCCTTGTTGTTTCAATGAGCCTAGAACCCAGTTCCTTCAAAAAACTGGTAGCACTTTTACCCCAAGCGCCGAGTGTCTCAGAAGCAATGGGGACAAAATTGTAGTGGTGATCCAGTTCTCTATACTTACGGGATTTGGCTGCTTCCCTGTGGGTGGCAGCGCCACCTGGTTGTGCAACACTGAGGTTAATATAGGTGTTAGCCAGGGTTGATACGCACGTGTAGTCCCATACCAACTACTTGCCATTCTTCCAGGGGTTCACTGTGATACCATCCGGGCGACCAATAAGAGCATCAGAGTTACGGGGCGTTAGGTAACGGGGCTCTCTTTCAGCTGGGCATCCAGCTGTGGTGAGGCTCCTCTTGATGATGTCGTTAACTTCACTGTGCCTCGAGTGCTATCCTCCTGTGCTTTGGCAGAGTAGGCCATGGTGGCCGTACATGTCAGCCACCACCTCGCCGCAAATACACCTATATCTGGTGTGGATTGGGGCAGCAAGGCGGAGGGCCACAGCAATTCGGAGGGCGTGTGGTGAGACGCGTGCCAGTTGCCGACATTGGGGTTGCTAACAGGAAATCCCCTGCATGTGGGGCTGCTACTGCTGTGAGGCGAGCAATGTCGTGTTGTGTTGTTGCAGCACCCAGGCACTCTGCAGGAACTTGGTCTGCAATGGGGCCATCCCAGCTGGATTGCTTGTGGGCTTTTGGGGTGGTTGAGGTGATGGGCCTGCACGAGAGCCCCACTCTGTGGCACAGCGTGTAAAATTGGGATCATGTACACCTGCCAGCTGATGTAAGTGGGCAGGTAGAATTTCCTTCACAAGGTCGTCGGATGCTGATAAGGAGGACAGGAAGGCTGGAACAGCGATTTGCGTTGCTGTTCGAACTCCGAGGCCCCCAAGTCTTACGGGAAGAGAGGCTTGTTTCCACTGTAGGTCATCAATATATATATATATATATATATATATATATATATATATATATATATATATATATATATATATATATATATATATATATATATACACACATATATATATATATATATATATATATATATATATATATATATATATATATATATATATACACATATATATATATATATATATATATATATATATATATATATATATATAT